AAGAAAGAAAGAAAAAAATATATATATATAAACAATAACAACAAGTCTAAACTGGAGTTTTGTTTTCCTATTGCTTTTTAAGAAAAAAGCAAACAAGCAGAGCACCAACTCCTCTCCTAAAGGAAGAAGACACTCATCAGAGACAAAGGAGGGTGGTAGGGCAGTGGGGCAGCCAGCTGCACCCTCACGCGGGGGTGGGGGCGTCCTCGGGCAGACAGCCTGTGAGCTTTGGCTCAGAGCTGAGGCAAGGGTCCCGGCAGGAGAGCGTTCCCCCTAGTTCTTTCTTCATCCCTGAGTGAGCAGTGTGGGCCAGCAGCTGTGCCGCATGCTCAAGATCAGAGGCAAAAGCACCACACCTCTGTCTTCAAGGAGGTTAGCTGAGTAACCTGACTGAACTCCCTAGGCCGTGGTGTGAATAACAGTAGGTATGCTTTAGGTCGCTTTTTGTTTTGTTTTATTTTTTGACACAGACTCTTTCTATGTAGCGCAGGCTGGCCACAAACTCAAGGCAATCCTCCTGCCTCAGTGCTAGATGTCAGGTATGTGCCACCATGCCTGGCTTATTGTCCTCTAATGTGACCATTTCATAAGAAAAAGACAAGGCCCTGTTTATACACTGAGAAAAAACATGTGATGCAGTAATAAAGTTACATTTTAGTGGTAATGAAGTGTTAGGGAAGTACAGTGCCTCTTCTAGGGCTTTAAACCCCAGTAATCTTTACAAAAGTAACACATAAAACCCAGACTCTTCACATGTTATTTTAAGAGTTAGCGAATGTTGCCCTTCTTAAAGCTGGTTCCAAGCTTTGTGGGCCATAAATGTGGACAGGATCCCTAAAGTACATGAAGTAAAATCAGAACACAGCCCAGACCAGTCAGGAGCCCTGAGGTGGATTTTCACAGCCCTGACAGAAAGGCTGGCTTGGAGAGGCCTAACAGAGGAACACACTAACCCATGCTTCCTCAGCCACACTGTGGAAAGGCTTTTGAGCATTAGGGACAAGAGTGCCCATCAAGCTGATAATTGAAAATTTATAATAAATTTGTTTTTCTTTTTCCTTCTGGAGACAGGGTCTTGCCATGCATTTCAGACTGGCCTTGAACTCACTATGTAGCCCAGGCTGGCCTTGAACTTGCAGTATCCTCCTGCTTCACCCTCCCAAGTGTAGGGATTACAGGTGTGTGCCACCCAATGGGCTATAATAAATTTAATACAGGTAAAATGAGCCTGTGCACTGTTCTAAGTCATACTTTATTCTACTTTTATTCCATCAGCCTTCATACGGTTATATGGCATTCTTGAAGAGCCAAAAAATACCACAGGTGTTCACTGATACAGACCTTAAAGGCAGAGTAAGCTCTTCCTAGGAAAATTCAGCATCCAAATCGAGATTTGTCATAAGTACGGAATTCACACTGGATTTTGAATCCCTGGTACAATGAGTAGAATGTAAAATATCTAACTAATAATTATATTAATCACATGTCAAAATAATTTCTTTATATATGACTCAATACTTTTTTATTTTGGTGCCAGGCTTCAAACTCAGGGCCTCCTGCTTGCCAGGAAGGCACTGTACTGTTGAGCTACATCTCCAGCCCCATGCATGCATTATTAATATTAATACAACCTATTTCTTTTCTTTTTTTTTTGTACTAGGGATCAAACTCTGGACTCTGCCATGCCAGGTAAGGTGCTTGTGCCCCCAAGCTATCTCCCTGACAAACATGCATTTCTTTCTTTTTTTTTTTTTTTTTGGTGGTGGTACCAGGGATTGAACTCAAGACTTCAGGTAAGCTCTTATTCTCCTGAACTATCTTCCTGGCCCCAATATCATCTATTTCTTTTCACTGTTTAAAAAATATGGCACCAATGCTGGTATAAATATAATCCCAGCACTCTGGGAGGCTGAGGCAGGAGAATCACAAGTCTGAGCCCAGTCCAGGTGTCATGGTTTGTGTCCAGATGTCTCCTGAATGCCTCATGCAGTCATGGGCAGGCTGCTAGAGTTTATGATCGACTCATGGTCCAATGCTGGGACTATGCGTGTGAGTACCATACCTGCCTGGGGTGGGCAGCCTGAATGCAGTATAAGACAGGCAAAGAGGCTTGCTCACGCTGTTCTTCCCTTTTCCCTTTTTTTTTTTTTTTTTTTTTTTTTTTTTCTGTGATCATGAACTATCGCCCCCTGCCATGTGTCACTCTGCCTTGGAGTCAGCTGAGTAGGGACTGAAAGCTCTACAAACTGCGAGCTAAATAAACCTTTCCTTCCTTAATCCTGGGTGTTGGGTATTTTGTCTCAGAAAGGAGAGAAAAGTAACCAAGACAGAATTTGGTAACAGGAGTGGGGTTGTTGTGATTATACCTGACTATGTGGTTCGAGAGCCTTTGGAAATGGCTTGTGTGAATATCTGGAAAGGTTTGGAGATTTTTGACTGAAAGAGAAGTCCTAGAATGCCTTCAGCTATTCTGTATTGAAGATGCTGGTCAGTGCTAAGAAGACTGACAGAAATCCTGCTGGTAAAGACCAGGAAATGGAGGTTTCTTCTGGGAAGGACTGTGTTGGGTGCTTAGCTCCGATGATGTGTGTCATGGGTTGGCAGAAAGTTTGTCTGCATTCTAATTCTGTCCAGAGACTTTTCCTTGGACTGAGATTAAGGGCAGCAGACTCATTAATCTGGCAAAAGAAATTTCAAAGCAGTCTCACATTGAGGCAGTGGCATGGTTATTGTTGGGCGCTTTTAGCCAGATCTATGTTGAGAATCAAGAGCAAAGAGCACAGCAGAATGATTTAAAACATTGTGAGTTTGGCCAGAAGGGAAGCTCCAGTAAAGCTGAGGACTGCAAAGAAAGATCTTACGAGATTGTCATTGCTGAGAAGGAACAAACAAACAAACAAACAAGGATGACTTGAGGGGATCACAAGAAACAACAAGTCTCCATTATTTGTAGCCTCAAAACTGTAAAATGAAAGGCTTTGTTTTAAGGAGAAAGCCAAAGAATATCATGTTCTGGAATGACAGCAGCTGCACCAGGTTCCAGAATGGCATTGGCATGGGGAATTTGATCCTCAGAATCAGATTCTCCACCTGTACAACCAAGAGAGAAGAAAGCCTGGCTACTGCCCCAGCTGGCAGCAGATGTTGGCATCAGCCATGTGGCACTGGTTTTAGGTTAGGTACATTCAGAATACAAGAGTTCTGAGGTTAAGAAGGTTTCCATCCAGGGCCGGCCAGATAGCTCAGCAGACTAAATGTCTGCTTAGGCAGGTGCAGGGACTGGGGTTCAATCCTTGGCATGCCATGCTGGCCCCATCCCCAGGGTGCACTGAGACAGTGACTGAGACTGGGCATGGTGACATGCACCTGTAATCCCAGCACTTGGGAGGCTGAAAACAGGAGGATCACTACAAGTCCCATCTGTGTAATAAGACCCTGTAGACTCTGTACTAAATACATTAAAAAAAAATTTTTTTAAAAAAGGTTTCCATCCAGATTTCAGAAAAAGGCCTGGGAAGCCAGGCAATGTGTCCCTGAGAGGGCAGTGTGTGAAGCTGTGAGTGTGAAGTCAAAGGTGCAGCAGAGACCCCAGAAAATTGGAAAAGGCAGGAACATGGGTCATCTAAGGAAAGCTGCAGGGAGGGAACGAAGCAGGCCTAAGAGGGAAGCCATGGGAGCCACAACCACCAGAAGTGCTGTAGTGGGGCCACATGGAGCTCACACTTGCCACAGATTTCCTTGGGTGTTGAAAATGGAACTACAAGACTTAATGTTTGCCTTGCTGGATTCTGGACTTGCTTTGGTCCCAATGCTTTGTATCCCTTTGTTTGTACCTTTTGGAATGGTGTTATTTACCTTATTCCATTGAATGTTGGAAATGTTTAACTTCTCTTTTGCACAGGGGTTCACAGCTAAGAGTTTGTCTTAGGTCTTGGAGAAGACTTGGGACTTGGACTTTTAAGCACTGCTAAAACTGTTAGGACTTTGGTAACTCTGGACTAAGATGCCTTTTGTATAAAGAGATGAACATGAGTCTTTACGGGCCCAGGGATGGAATGTTATGTTTTTCGTCTAGGTGTCCCCCCAAAGCCTCATGCAGTCATGGGGCAGCTTCTAGAGCTTGGGATTGATCCATGGTCCAGTGTTGGGACTCTGGGTGTGAGTGCTACACCGGCCCTGGGGCAGGCAATCTGAATGCAATATAAGACAGGGAAGAGGCTTGCTCTCTGCTCGTCCCTTTGCTCTTGCAGCTTTGCTGTTTTCCGCCACCATGAACCGCTGGCCTCTGCCATGAGCCACTCTGCAATGGTGCCAGCCAAATATGAACTGAAACTTCCACACATTGTGAGCTGAATAAACCTTCCCTTCCTTTATTCTGGCGTTGGGTATTGTGTCTCAGCAATGAGAGAAAAGTAAGCAAGATACTGAGCAAATAAGCAACTTAATGAAACCTTGTCTCAAAAAAAAAAAAAGCCTGGGAGATGTAGCTCAGTGTGAAGGTCCTGTGTTCAACCCCAGTACTACACACACACACACACACACACACACACACACACAAAGTGGCTACTAGAACATTTTTCAAAAAATTATTTGTACTAGGGATTGAACCCAGGACCACATAAACATCCTTTAGAAACAGCTCTAGAAAAATTTTAAATCACATACATAGTATTATATTTCTACTAAACACAGAGGCTTTAGAACACTGGCTGTTTTTCTCAAAGTGTGTATATAATTTTTGTAGTACTGAGGAATGAAACTAAGATCTTGGCATTGTGCTGTATCTCCAGCCCAATTTTTCTTTCTTTTCTGAGTAGTTCAGACTGGCATTGAACTCACGGGACCCTCCTGCCTCGACCTCCCAAGCGTGGGATTGCGGGTGTGCATCACCCCTGGCTGAGAGTACGTAAGTTTTGGAGCCCGAAACTTAACGGCAACACTCAGGGAAGCCACGGTCAAAGTAAAGCAACCGCCAAACACCTCCATCGGGGCCTCTTTACCTTACTTGAGGCGGTGGGATTCCCACCACTATGCAGTCCAACTGCACTCGGGTTCCTTCGGGCACTTCTCTGCTCCGCAGCTTCTGCGTGAAGCGCGGAGGCTGCCCCAGAGGCTCTTCGTAGTACAGCGAGGACGGCGACGACCCGGGGGAGGCGTCCCCGCCGCCCGCCTCCTCGGCCTCACGCCTGCGGGCCTCGCGCCGCTCGAGCGCGTGGTTCACCTCGTTGTCCCTGCTGGCGGCGGCGGCGGCGGCGGGGACGGGCACGGGG